TAACCCACGTCTCTTTCTTTTCCTTTAACTTTAGCTGATTACTGGATCAACGCTGTAATTGATTAGTGGCAAGGTGTGAATTTAACCAGAGTTCAGCAGCAATAATGGTCTCTTGACAATAGCAGTCAGCGTAAAATGTAAAATGATAGCCTGCAGCCTGATGGCCATCAAAGGAGAGCAGCCCACATAAAGAGGCCGGCTATTCTCTGGAGCACTGAATTTCTTTGGGCTCTTTTCTCTTGGTAATGCTGTCAGTTTAACTGACAGGAACCATTATGTATGGTGCTTGTCAGCTCACCTTCATAAAACAAGCTGTAAAACAGCAAATAACAGGCTTATATGGCTTCATTATCTGAGGCACTCTAAATCACAGTGGAGGCGCTGGATTCTCGTGTGTGTGGGTATGTGTACCATCCTTTCAGTTCAACCCTCAACTGAGAGGGCAGACAGGGCGTTTTCAGAGAGTAAAAAGAGGGAGAGAGAAGTTGAGTGGGTCAGTCTCTTCTCCAAGCGCTAATAAACCTCATCCTTTTCATCAGCTACAATGGTGAGAGAAGCCCCTTGCCATGTTAGCCAATCATTATCCAACACTTTATTAATTAGTCCACATCCACTCGCCTATAGTTCCAAACCGATGTGATCAGGGGCATCCAATGTTAAGATAAAATGTCCTCACAGTGGGACACAACTTAAGTGGAGAGGAAAAGAACAAGGAGAGCGAGAGAGAGAGAGAGAGAGAGAGAGAGAGAGAGAGAAATCGCGAGACAAAGAGAGAAAAGGAGAGAGAAAACATTGTGTTAATAAAAGTACTGCCCCAGTGAAATTATTTAAGAGGTAACGCGACAGAATGGGGTGGTCGAGGCACAGATGGAGACTGCATCTGGGAGTAGAAACCTTTTGCCACTGCAGCACGCTTGACGAGCAATCGGTTTTATTTATTTCATGCAAATAGATCCGGGCCTTTCACTAACCTGACAGCGGGGGCTATGAGGTGTCGGCCTGTTTGAGGCGCTGAGCGTCTCTGACTGCTCGCTGAGGTTCTGCAGGGAAATACTGTGCAATAGGTGGAGACAAGGCTGTCATGATATCAGATTTTCACTACATGATTATCACGGCCAAAAGAATTCAGGACAATGGTATTAATCTCAATATCTATATTTTGAGGAAAAAACAATATTGCTATCAGTGAAATTCATCTTTAACTCTTTCGGTCAATGAATCACACTTAAAATATGAGGAGGCAGAGAGAGTTTTTTTTATAAATGGCACAAAAATAACTTCTAAAAAGTAGACTGTTTGCACTTTATTTAGCAGATTTAGCAGATGTCATCAGCTCCGACATTATTTTATGTGGCCAAAGTAGCCACACATCCTACATACTATGTTGGAGTGTCAACCAGTTACTGATGCTGGATTGCTTACGATATTAATTTATGTGTAGCATTAACAATATCAATATTTTATTATTTTGAATAGCATGATTATACTTCCCTTCAGTTCGTTTCTCTGTTGGGGGTTCCTGAAAATCTCTTGTGAAGTAATTTGTAATGTGTTTTTATAAACATGGATCTGTTGTTAAACAGTTTTTTAGTAGTACAGCTTTGATTAATTCATTAATTGATTGTATCATTCCCTTTTCAAATTAATTCATTCTTTCTTGAGTATTCATTCATTCTTCCTTCCTTCACTGTTATTTTCTTTCTTGATTCATTCATTTATTAGCCCTAATAATATAGAACATATGTGACCCTGGACCACAAAACCAGTCATAATTTTTGAAATGTGAATAAATAAGCTTTCCATTGATGTATGGTTTGTTAGGATAGGACAATATTTGGCTGAGATACAGCTATTTGAAAATCTGGAATCTGAGAGCGCAAAAAAATCTAAATATTGAGAAAATCACCTTTAAAGTTGTCCAAATGAAGTCCTTAGCAATGCATATTACTAATCAAAAATTAAGTTTTGATATATTTACAGTAGGAAATTTACAAAATATCTTCATGGAACATGATCTTTACTTAGTATCGTAATGATTTTTGGCATAAAAGAAAAATCGATAATTTTGACCCATACAATGTATTGTTGGCTATTGCTACAAATATACCCCAGCGACTTAAGACTGGTTTTGTGGTCCAGGGTCACATATATTAAAACAAAATGATTAGTTTTAGAATAATACTCTGAATTACAATGAATGCAAATAAACTGAGAAAATAGTTGGATGGGGTGAGCCAAATATTACTAATTCTATTTCACTGACAGTCAGCCTTTGCCTGAGACGTACAAGTGTAGTAATTGTTTGGCAAACAGTGTGATTTGAGCGGTGTGGTTGGGATTGTTCTAGACACAGCAGTGAGTGGAGGACAGAGAAAGAGAGAGGAGGAACAAGAGATCAGTGTGACTGTCTCTTTAAACCCGGGGAGGGCTAGAGAGAGACTGTCACAGATTGAGAGTGCTGACTGATTAGAGTTTGTTTTAAACAGCAGTGCTAAGATTGACGAGTCGCTGCCAAAAGCTCTGCGTGCCTGACACTCTCTTTTCTCCCTCCCACACACTCAAATGAACTACAAAAGACATAAGATGACATACATCACTTAGATGACCAAAAATGACTATGAAAAGTGACATTTTTTAATTTTCTTCAGAAAATGTGAGTGCAAGACTCACTATCATGATGCTAAGGTATTGTTGATGGTCGACAGGGTGTTTCTATGTTTTTGCTTAAGATGCTTATTAGGTTGTTTTAAGATTGCTAGATGATTATTTCCTGGACCAAATAAACAATCACACCCTTGGTGTGTTCGAAATTGCAACATTTGAATTTAAGCTTACTTCACAACTACATCTGCCATGTTGTTACTGTCATGTGACCAACCAACGTCAGTTGCGTCACTATTCACAAATCTTCTCCTGTGGCCTCATGGGATAGTAAAGTGTCCATCAAATGCACACTTCAGAATCTCCGCGGACATAGTAGGTCATCTGGGTACTTTTCGCCTACTCTTTTTCGAATACTATGAATTCGGACACTATTTTTTCGGCATTCTGCTAGCAAGGAAGTGTTCAATTTCAGACATAGCTTCTGTCAGTATCTACGATATTCCAGACTCTAGATATAACTCAGTTCCCTCCTTCAATGGAAGTCTATTATTTTCATAAATTATGCATCAAAATTTTGGCAACCAATATTCAGCCAATATTTTAAAAAATGTTGCCCGTAAACGATGCTACACTGTAAATCACCGTGACCAAAATTTGTAAATGTGTAAAAATTTAAAATGTTTAAATATGCTAATTTTGTAAGGCAAAAACATTGAGAGGCGGCTCACTGCTGAATAACTTGACTACGACTGGTTAAATTTATCACCTGAGAATATGATTTCATTTTTGGTAAAAAATAATGTCGATGCATCACCCATTTTTACTCATTTTATGGTTTACCAAGCTGAGTCCAAGTCCAATAACTTAGTAATTGAACACTTCATCGCAATAAGTGTTTGAAGTACTCATGTCCTCAGCACAAAAGCTTCAAGACAAGTTACACTCCAAAGTGTCCATTCACTAATCCAGAGTGCATTATGAATATGCAGGTGTTTGCATTTAAGCATGCAACTTGCACCCACACACTCTTGCATGCACCCACACACAGGTGGCTAAACAAATCTAACCTATATGCCATGTCAAAGGAAGCAAACACACACAGGCTCTCACACTCTCACTCAGCCCCAGACAGGCGTTGCTTTGTCATACCTCTACTCTCGACAGGCCCTGCCGTCTTCACGCCACGCTCAACTCTTCTGGCTGCACTCCAAAGCACCTCAAACGCATGCCTCGCTCAGTCCCTCCGCCATATGGACAGATCTGAGCCCTTTGTAGTCATCTCTCTATGGAGGGCCTACCTGACTAAAGCCCAGCAGACTACGACCTGCAGGGATGAGCACGCTCTGGCACCGGCCAGAGATTGGCTCTTAAACACGACGTAACACTTGCCATCTGACTGCCGTAACAATCTGCACCCTTCACACACATATATACACCAGACGGACATATTATGACTTCTGCAAAATAGAAACAATAGAAATAGCTAGTTTCTTTCATATTCTTTTTTTCCCCAATTTTTCAACATATTTGTTTAAATTTAATATATTTTGAAACAAATGTTATTGAATATATGTTATAGAAAGGTGCCATGAAAGCCCTGACTCGTGACAAAAACTATTTTCATAATATATACATTTTTTATTAATTATTTACTCACCCTCTTCTCATTTTCTTTGGTAGAATACATAAGAAAATATTTTAAAGAATGTTCAAGCTGCTCTTTTCCATAAAAGAAAGCATATAGAATTTACAGGCTGTTAAGCACCAAAAAAGACAAAAAGCTCCATAAAAGCACAACAAATGTAGCCAATGCAACTCATACACCAGAAGATTCCATGTCCTTTACTAGTTTTATAGGAGAAAAACTTGAAATTATGATTCATATATATGCATACACATTTAAACTTTCTATAATGGTTATAAGACTTCAATGGCGTTAAACCTTGATGTGCCAGATTTGGAACATCAATATGAACAATGCTTGTAACTTGGTACGACGAGCACTTCCTGTGTCTATTTGCCTCTTTAAGATGAATCGCTTGATGTATTCCCCAATTGTAAGTCGCTTTGGATAAAAGCGTCTGCTAAATGAATAAATGTAAATGAAGAAAAGTGATTTGAGAGAGCTATAGTTCTTTAGCAAAAAGTGGCATAAAATGTAAACCATTCGTCACATAAATTTACAGTATGGCTTAATAAGACATAGAATACAGTACACAAGTTTTGAGTTCACTGAAAGGACAAGGGCAGTGTAAAGATTTTTTTTCTATATTTTCTATATTTGTTCCACGAAAGATAGAAAGTCATACAGTTTTGGAACTACATGAAGGTGAGTAAATTATGACAATTTTTATTTTTGAGAGACTATTCCTTTAACTCTTACATTAAGATGTCAGGATGCTTACGCAATGACTACGGGGCACAGCCCATAGCAGCATGTGTGTGTGTGTGTGTGTGTGTGTGTGTGTGTGTGTATAGGGGAAAGATGGATGGTCTAGCTGCACCACAGGTGGCTGAGGCCCAGCGCAGGGAGGATACGGGTCAGAAAGACTCTGTCTCCAGCTTTGTGGATATGAAGGCAGCCCATGTGTCTCTTTGAACAGAACAACTGAACACAGAACAAATAGTTAGAATTCACAGATGGAGAAAGGCCCAGGTAAGATCTTCCCATACCACCCATCTGTCCAGTAGACTGAAGCTGCCATGATGGGCAGTTGCATTTTGTACTTACCCAGAGTCTCAGACCAAACAAATGGCACTGTTATGACCCTGAAATCAGATGGAAGATGAAAAATATAGATTTTTATTGTATATTATAATATTGACATATATTCTGCCATTCAGTATATTCAACATATAAGCAATTAATGACTATTACTAAATATTTGATGTGTATCATGCTTCAAAGTAAAAAAAATAAAAATTGTTTATGCAAATTCAAATGTAAATAATGCCTTTTGAATTAGAGTTAGCTGTTAGTGGCTATAATTGCTCACTTGATCCACAGAAATCACAATTTCTTTTCCAGGTATAAGTATTAGATTCAACATTAGCCTATTTAAAAAGTACTGGATCTAAAATAAAATAAGTGGAATTAGCCACCCCTACTATAGAATTGTTTGCTCTGATGCAAGTCTATTTAATCCCAAACACTTCCTCTAAAGCAGCCCAACACAAGCCTGATTAGTTTACCTCGCCCTCACGTGGTAGGACATGGTACTGCATGTGTTTCTGCGGCATCAATCTCCTGCGTGTGCTTCTGAAAACTTGGGAAAACATGACTGATTTTGGTTAGGCTGATCTACCAAGAGTGACTGACAAATTAAAAAAGAAATTATACGTGTTTATGTAAAGGAAAAGGAGACAAATGTGTTGAATCACATTTCCCAGGGCACAAATTACCCTGATAAACTCACACATGCTTGACTTGGTGGTTAGACACGGAACAAATGAGAGGTCCCTCTTTCACGGGTGTCCCCCTCTCCTCTAAAACACCCTGAACCCAGAAAAGACACAGAAACGGGCACTGCCATTACTTAGCAAAGAGACTGTGACACTCGTGCTGACCTTGGGTCAGTGAAACCTGTCATGAACCGTGTGCATTTACAGCACTATTAGACATTTAAGCAGGATTCAGACTCTCTCAGGCATGAATGTTTCCACCAGACCTGCACTAATAGCATCTAAACAGCTAATATCAACAGGACGGCCATTCAAATGCTGCACGCATGACTGACGTTTAGCTAGAGCTCTGTCTCTAGCCAGATAACGGCGCAAATGTGTAAGTGTTACTGGTGACGCGTCTTAAAATCATTGGATGAAATGGGAAAAAAACATGAATTTCTTCCTTTCTAGTTCATAATAAAATGTGGTTCTTAGAGCGTTAATACAAAAATCTCTTTGCGTAAATAAAGAACACTCTCTTTTTGAGGCTGTTGTGGTATGTGTATGTATGCGTGTGTAACCCAGAAGCCTCCCTTCGGCCCAGTCCAGATCCTTTAATTAATACTGGCTTAGACCCGATTGCTTCTGACACTACAGGGAGGTTCCTGAAGCCCAACCTACTTCTGCTCCACAACACAGTGACCAAATCCACCGAGGCCGCCCACCTCCACTCACACACAAGACCTTGTGAGGACAGTAATTAAAATCCAACCATATTCTAGTTAAGAATTCACTCAAATAACAGGCTTTGGTCCTTGCGGTCCATCTCAAGCAGCAAAAATAACAAGGTTCTGCCGTTAGACTCTTAACGATACTCGGCTCGTTCTGAACAAGTGTTACCCAATAATCAAATAACAAACCCCACAGATCAGACTACTGGGCCTGAATTGTGGTCTGTTTTGATAACGCACAACTGAAAACTTGATTTCCTCTATCATTTAATTATCTGGCTTCCTGTAAAAACCACCTAAACGTTTATACTAGGAGAAGCAAATTCAGATAACCAACATTTATCGCTGTCACATTTTCACCCAGCGCAGAGCAGAAGGAGGAGTGGAGCATGTAAGTTCCAAAACCACGATATAGCACCCAATGTGGGGTTAGAAATCCAGCGTTGCCCTGTTGGGAATCGCTCGGACAGATCTGCGGTCTGCACGGTATGCTAAGTATATTACATCAGACGGCTCCGGGAACATTCATTATGAGCATTGTAACTTCTCAAAACCGAGGGCTTATTTAAATGCATTTATGATACAAAATTTCAGCTCAAAATGCTAAACAGATGTGCTGCTGTGCGTTTCTCGAAAGTAAATACCGGGTTTCGTTTAATTAGCGTGACAGTGGAAACATGACTGAAGGCTACGGCTATAATCCAACATTCCAAACCACTGAATACAGTATTAACATACAGAATCCAATGGAATCTGGAATACAAATGCAAAGCGGAGGGCAGCAGGGAATAAAAAGAGCGAACATGGAAAGGCAGAGTGGAGGTGGGAGGGTGGAAAGGGCAGTGTGTTTGTTTTCTTGCCTCTGGCTAATGAATTTACTAAACTGCCAGGTGGATGCAAATGGCAGAGCAGGCGCCTCGACTCTGCAGACAGCAAACTTCACAGCATCTGTAGAAACGCCGCAGTAAATCCAGAAGGCCTACATCAATGTGTAAGCAAAGGGGGCAGGGGGAATAAACAACGCTTCATCCTAAGGAGAAAGGCATACAGTTAAACAACTCCTTTAAAGAGACGGTCAACAGATTAGCGCTACCACCAAACAGCTAAGTGGAGTGCCACAGATTGTCTCAATAAATGACAGTCCATCTTTTTCATTCAAAGTCACCAACTCCATTCATACAAAAAAATGCTATCTCTCCTTAAAGATCCTAAATGTAGTTTGCTACTTTTTGTTAGTAGTTTGTAGCTTCTCTAACAACCCTTTCCGAAGAGTGACTCGACTCTAGCTTTAAAAAACTTGATGACGTTTCATGTCATCTATGTATCTATGAAACACAGTGACTTGTTGGGATTCATTGTTAGTGGATTTCAAAAACAGTTACTGCAGGAAAAAGTGTATATAATTTAGTAACTGCTACTTTTAGTTTAATTAGTTATCCCTTGTTCCTGGCAGTCAGTTCCTACGCTGATAAACTCAGCAAAATTAATTCTCACATCTCGCTGAATAAAATCTGGATAATCAGTATGATGAACGGAGGGAGGGTGGGAGGTGGTGGTGGAAAGGGAGGAATGGAAGCTGTTGTGCTTGGCCATGGGCCGCATCCAACCACTACCCTTCCTTCCCCGGTCCACCTGGACAACATTTCTGCCACCTGATACACATCAATATGAAAAATACACGTCACGCATTTAGAGCAAATACATGAGCTGAGAAAGCATGGTGTCTTGGGATGAGAACAGACTTTATAAATTAGCATTGGCTGGGGTGATTTTGCAAAGCCCGGAGCATCTTTTACTTGAACTGGAGTCTAGTTTTTCACCTCCAGCTGACATAACGGCTCATGACTCAGAGGAAATTATTTGAAAAGGTTCCATGTGATATTTCAGAAGCTTTCCTGTACAGGCGGCACATTGGTGTGCTAATGATGGAAACTTCAGCAGACTGACACCCAGGTCAGGCAGGATGGCACCAAACACACGCTATTTTGTTTGGATAATGTTGGCATTTTCAAAACAGCTCGCCTAAGCATGGCGTCAAATGATAACATTTATCTTCTTGTTTGTGCTTTGACAGGACTCCAAAAATAGACACAACTGCATCACTCCGCACATTACATACACAAATCAAGCTTAAAAAGTATTCACTGCCAGAGTTAGAGTCAGATTATAACTGAGCCCTTACTACTGAGCGACTCTAATGTAGTCCGTCTGCGCCTCCTTAACCTGAGTTAAAGGAGGAGTAGCGAACTGGTTTCAATTTAGACTTGTAAGGGACAGAAGCTTTCCAAAATCCCAGGCCTCATGACTTCCTTCCGTGGATGTAGAGGAATGCTGTCTAGCTTTATCCACTGCTGTAGGACTACAATAAAGCTAGAGGAAAGGAGGCAAGTCAGGGGCATGCTTTTACCCCTTCTATGCCCCACTTTACCTTCATCTGTGAGAGCTACATAAGCCTGGGAAAAATCAAACCAGGCATTGAGCGGAGTTGAACCAAAAAAATAAAAATAAATAATAATCAAATAAATAAATAAAAATAAACAAATTTATAAAATAAAATGTAATCTTTTTTTTATTTTCCCCCCAGACAAATCTCTTATGATAAACAGATGGCAAACATATGATAATGATAATGGTTTAATAATAAATTGGTTAATTATGGTAAAATGTCATAAAAAACCTTTTTCAGTTCTAATCTCAAAGTGCAACCCAACTAAAATCCGTCGAGGAAATAAAAAAAAATACAACTATTAATAAAATAAAATAATTAAAATACAAACACATCTTAACAGCAAAAGTTGCATGCTATAGTAAAATTAACATAAACTAAAAAGTGACCTGCCTATGAAAAAAATGAAACACGCAAAATGTAAAAATCTTGCTCAAAGCAAGCTCGCCATAGCCTGTATCAAACACACAGTGGTTAAAGCAGTCGAACAAGAAGTCCCTTTTCTGACCACGGCTGTATCCTGTATTTTCCAATTATCACCTTTTAAAGGCCAGCTGGGTGCATTCCAAACCATCAGGGGGCAATTCCATTTGCATTGCTCTGAGACAAAGTCATACTCAAGTACGCTCATAGTAAAGTTCATTATGAGTGAAGAGACACCATCATTGCTTTCATTATTTTGGGAACAGGTTTCCTCATTTTCTGATCCCGGGTCCATGTTATTGATTCAATCTTTCGCGCTCTCTCAGCTATGACACCAATCAGAATCTGCACAAAATCAGAGTGCACAACACAAGCCACAGGGAAATACACTTCATTATAGAGGAGCAAATTGTCAGTAAGGATAAACTGGGCAGTTTGTTTTTATCTCCATGTTACTTTTTCCTCTGCCCTTTAGTCTTTATTATCTCCATAAGCCTGCCTGGTCTGTATCAGCGATTATATTTGTATTTTGTACATTCAAACAGCTTTTCTTTTTCTGAGAGTCTTTTACTCTGAGTCATCAGTGCGCTTCACTATTCCTCCTTAATACAGCACCATTTATTTAAAAAAAATAGTCTACATTTTAAACTTTTGATAGACCCCAGTGCACCAGACCCACAATAAAAATGGTATGCTACATTTGGTCCAACAGCGTTGTGGGTATTTTCATGGCTTATAGTGCTGTGCCCATGCATATGGCGCTACAGACATTGGGACGGGAGTGCAGCAAGTCATCAGGGACACAAAAGCGGCAACATGATGACGCTAAGTCGACATAATGGCAGATCAAACACAGTGTAACAAGAAAAAGAAGCAAACAATGGGCACCCGTTCTCACTGGTGGAGAAATATCTAAATCAGTAAGCTACTGTGCGAATGGAGGTGGGAGAACGGGGGGACGAAGTACAAAGGCCCGCGTTGAGCTTTCGCAGTGTCGTGGCCCCTGATCTGTCCAGACACAGCAAAGGGGGCGAGGTGTAAAGGAGGAGAGAGACGAGGGCCTCTTGGGACACGCACCCACCTCCACACCAGCAGTCCCTTAATGTGCTGTGTCTAATGCGCCTATTTAGGTTTTGGGGTGCAACAGTGCACAGACTCAGGTTTTTGGACGGCCTCGGGGCGAGGAGCATGGCTATCACCTATCCCAACAGCTGGGGCCCAGGAGGGTAAACAAAGGCCTGTAGGAAGTAGCGCATGGCTGCGGCTGGGTCTAAAA